TGAACACATGAAATTTGGAGTTAAGGTTCACTTCTGTCGGATGTTGTGAAACCTCGATTCTCGAGAGCGGCTGGGCAGCTGGCATTGCCCTTCCAACACGATCCCCTCCATGATCCTCAAGCCTAGGCCATGAGATCACCCCATGAGTAGTTGAGGTTGGGGTCGTCAGCTGCAACAGCCCTCTCGAGCATGAGTGCGTTGCCGGTGCTGCATCCTCTTGATGCCTCGTGGAAACGCTGGTTCTAGTGACGACACCACTGACGTGCAAGATCGCCTCGACAACAGAGTTGGCATCTCCGCAGCTTGTGTCGGAGCGTTATTGCAATGCGGCTTATGGTCATACGGGCGTGCGGCATTAGTACTAGTACTACCGCACGTGTCCGACCCGTTAGCTAGTACTACTATTAGTATTGGTATTCGTGTGAGTGTAGTGCTCGTGCAAGCAATATACGTAATAATTAACAATACCAAGAAGAGCGACTGCTGGTGCTGCTGCTGCTTGTGCTGCTGCTGCTGTTGTTGTTACGCTGTTATCATGCTTCTGACATCTTCTGACTATAGTTAGCATTGAGCATCATCATTTACACACAAACAGCCAAACCAGCGACTCAGGACCAGGTCATGCTTGACTACGTGCAAGCCGAGCCGAGCCAAAGAGCGAAGCTTCCCATCCAGGCGTGTCCGTTTGCGGGGTGTCGGGCTCTAGGGCTTTGCTTCAAGATTTCGGGGAAGTAGTGGGTTGAGGGCTTCAGCGCTCTCGGACTCCATGGTGTTACCAGGATTGTATGCCTTCAGGGCTTTGAGGTCTAAAACGTCCGAGGTTGAGGGTTTTGCGCGATGGCTTCCAAGCTTGGCTCTTCCGGGCTCCTACGTGCTTTCCTGAGCCCTATGCACACTGAACCTTAGCATCAATGTAAGTTTTGAGAGTCTTCCAAGCACGAACTGCTGCCGATCCTGTGATGCTGCTGATGAAAGCGGTCTTGCAGATGTAGATGACGATGCTGATGTTGGTGATGATGATGCTGATGCTGTCGGCAATCATGACTATGCAGCCGATGACGATGACGATGTTCGGATCTGAATCGGCTGAATTTGGTCGTGACGGTGACTGTGAGCGCGATTCTCGGATGCCACGTAGTAGCATGTTTCCCTGACAGGACGTGCGCGTCTGGAAGCTCCACGGCTTTCGGCCATAGGTCGAGATATTGTCACGCAGGGCGTGTTGGGACTGAGGACGCTCGGGTCTTTCAAGCTAGCTTTTAGTGGTGCTCTGGATGCAGGAAAGTGTCGTACTGGGCATGGGATGGCCTGCTGATGTCAAGTTCAGGAACATGATGGATGGTCATATCCGAGTCCTGCTCTTTTCTTCCATGTGCAGATGAGGTCCTCTCCTCTCCCCTTGCATATCTACAGCCTAGAGCCATTCACGATGGCATGTCTGTACATATGGCGCAGCCACGACTTGCAAGCAAGCTTGGCTTCTGCCAAAGAAGTCAGACCGTGTCCGGGTTGTGGCGGCTCAGTTTCAGACTAGCCGGCTATTGTCCGCACATATTGGGTGTGAATTTCTTTCAGGTGAAGGTTTGCAGGTGCCAGAGAAGAGGGATGTTCAGTCCGTGCTGTTGAAGCTGCCTCCTCGTCACGGGGCCGAAGGGACCTGCGGAACCTTGCCTACACCATTGGCTAAAAGCTTTGTAGAGGTCTGTTATGTGAACGTGCTGCCCCGGCAACCCTATCGACCCAGCAGAGAATGGGCTTCTCAGCACCTTCAGGTTTCTCATCGATTGCACGTGCGATCATGTCAGCCAGTAGTCGAGCAATACTCAGTAGAACCATCGTTCGCAACACCAGGAGCCTGACCTGTAGCTGCAAGACGTGTTGTCTGGTTTAAGGGAGGCAACGGATGACGTTGAGAATGGACTGCAGTCGAAGCCGCAAGACCCGCTGCCACCGTGAGCTTCATCTGCCGAGCGACCACAGCTGTGGGGGTTCAAGTGCTTGGAGGATATACGGAGCGGACATGTTCTATTCACTTTCCTGTAGCGCTCAATGGAAAAATCACTGAAGTGCAGTTATCACCGGGGTACAGCAGTTGTGAATCGTTCCAGCAAGATCAATCAAAGCAGCCATTTTCAACTGAACTAGCCAGAGACGCCGGCATGATTCCACCTAGCGAAGACGACGCCGGTGCCAGTTAAAACTCTGAAGCAGCATAGTTTTAGTACTGAAGCATCATCGCTCCCACAGACACTGCCCTGCACTCTGAAGCAACGCCTCTGGAATCTAAGAAGCCCAGTTGCAATAAAGAGTGGCTCCTTAACCGGGGCCTTAGCCTATAGTAGCCAAAGCCGAAGACCCTAAATCTGCTCTGCTGTCGCTTTTTCTGGGGCCTTCCCATGTCCTATCGGGCCTTGTCAAACGCCAACGCCTGAGGGACGTCCGACTCCCAGGCTTCTTCCGTTGCCAAGCACACAATCTTCGGTACATGCAAGCAGGTGTTCACTTGTATGCCTGTTCCTTCACAACTTTCGTTGGCGCTGCTCTGTGTGTGCGCGCAGGCTTTAGCATGTGTTTGTGCTTGTGTGTGTGTGTGTGTGTGTGTGTGTCTGCGTGTGTCTGCGTGTGGT